GAAGTCCTTTTCTTGCATTCCATTTGCCCCTTTCGTTGCTTCGAACACCAAGTTCTCCCACTCCCCCTCCGCAACCTCTGCACATTCGCAATGCGAGCCCGCGAGGACCCCTCGAAGGGACCGCAGGATACCGCGAGAAGCCAGCCGATCCAAAGCTTCAAGGAACAAGATGCATGGCGCGAAGCGCCTATGTATATAGATGTGTATATGTATGTAATCATGTATATATATACACATACATACATACATACATACATACATACATACATACATACATACATACATACATGCATGCATACATACATACATACATACATACATACATACATACATACACACGCAGACATACATACATACATACATACATAAATACATACATACATACATACATACATACATGCATGCATACATACATACATAGATACATATATACATATATGCATATATACATACATACATACATACATACATACATGCATGCATGCATGCATGCATGCATGCATGCATGCATGCATGCATGCATACATACATACATACATACATACATACATACATACATACATATATACATACATGCACATACATACATACATTTCGGAGGGCTCTTGGGCTGTGTATTGGCAGTGTTGGGCCCATCTGGGGCCACGTTCGGGCCATCAGGGCCGCCTTGGGGCCTCCCGCTCCCGCTGTGGGGCCCAGCATGGGCCTGTCCTGGGGCTCTCTTGGGCCGTCTGAGGCTCGTCCCAGGCAATTTTCGGGCTCCCTTGGGCAATCTTGGGGCTCTGTTGGAGGTCTTTTCGGCGGTTTGGGGGCGCCGTCGGCTGTCGTAGAGCGCCGGGAGGTCGAAAACGCGAGACACCGAAAAACATTTCAAAAACCAACGGAAATCAAGGATTTGAGCCTCTTCGGGCTCTCGGGATGCTTCTCGGAGCTCTCTTGAGGCCTCTTGGAGGCCTCTTGGGCTGTGTATTTGCGGTCTCGAACCCATCCTGGACCACGTTAAGGCTATCTGGGCTGTCTTGGAAGGGCTTGTCGAAGTCCCCGAGGGCTTCTGGGAGCTCTCTGGGACAGTCTGGGAGCTCCAGGGCCGCTCCAGGGTGCTCTGGGAGCGGACTGGGGAACCCTGGTCCTCCCATGCCCAGTCGTGGTCGCGGCCCCGGTCGCCCGGGCCTCGTGCACGGGGATACCTACATCTCTCTCTCTCTCTCTCTCTCTCTCTCTCTCTCTCTCTCTCTATATATATATATATATACATATACACATGGGCATATACATATACGTCTGCATACACATATACATTTCCATATGCATCTACATCTACATCTACAGCTACATCTACATATGACATACATGTAAATATAGATGTACATATTCATTTGCATCTACGTCTACATATACATATACGTATACGTATACAAATACATATACATGCCCATGTGTAGATACATATACAAATGCAGATACATCTACGTAGACATATACGTATACATACACATATACATAAACATAAGCATATGTGCATACGCATACCTAAACCTATACATATACATACACATATACATATAATTATTCATACGCATACGCATGCATCTATATTTGAAAATAATGTCATACCTATACACATGCATTTGCCTATGTACAGATGCACCTATACACAACAGCTCGCATACATATATATATATATATTACATATATAGATGGATATGTATACATATTCACGTGCATTACATGTACATGTACATGAATATATACATACACCTATACAAGTACATTTACATCAACAGGTGCATACACATATACTTGTACATATACATGTACATATACATGTACATATGCATGTACATATATATACAAATATACCTATGACTATGCACATGCAAATACATATTCATTTACATATACATGTACGTACGCATATACATATACATGTGCATATACATATACATATACATACAAGTACACATATACACATACATATACATATGCATATACATTTACATATCCATCCGCATCCGTATCCATCCATCCATCCATCCATCCGTTCATCCACCCATCCATCCATACATACATACAGACATGCATACATAAATACATACATTGGAAGCCCCTTGGGGTCTGCTTGGGGGCCTCTTGGGGACAAGCTCGGTGCGAAGACAAAAAACACGAATCCGGTTGACATGTACGTTTTCCGAAGAGAACGGGGCCAATGTTGCCTCTCGGGGCCCTCTGGGAGGTCAAATTGCACGGGTTATGAGGCGTCTTGGAGGCCTCGTGTTGGCTGCTTGGGGCCTCGTGGGGGTCTCGGGCGCCCTCTTGGGGCGTGTTGGTCATGTATGTACGGAAAAATATGCTGCTGCTCAAGCACCAGGCAGATGCTGAGAGTTGCGGCACCGCAACGACGGGGTACCAGGCTCAACTCGTCGGCATCAGGCAGCCAGCTGGGTGGATTCGAGCACCCACGCCTGTGGAGAAATGACCAGGCGGAGTATCCAACCCTCTCTAACCATATGGCGAATATGCGCATATATATATGTATATGTATATGTATATGTATGTAAATGAGACAGCATACTACAGCATAGGTTGGCATGTTTCGATATGCAGGGGCGGGGATTCTGATTCGCATGCTCGACCGCTAACTCCATACAACGAGCAAATCAGATATGCCCCCTTCAAACGAAGCGGCCCCGACACGCCAAGACCATGCCGTCGCAAACTAAGCTCCCTCTGGCCTGCAGGCCGCAGCCCCTGACGCAGACCGAGGGCTCCTCTGAGCCCGCGTGCACCGTCAATACGCGGCGCCGACTGTCGGCTCGAGGAGCAAGAGGAAGCAAAAGAGTGAAACACCAGTGCTGGTAGTACTGTTCTCAACCCTCCTGCTCTGGGTCGTGTTTTCCAGCTTCGGAGCCGAACGCCCTAAGAGAAAATAGGAATGGCACGATTTTTGTTTCTTGGACCTCTCTTGGGGTGCCTCTCGGAACGTCTTGGGGTGCTTTTGGGAGCCTTTTGGCGCCTCTTGGCGGCATTTTGGCGCCTCCTGGAGCCTCTTGGGCCGGAAGCTCGGAATTCGAGGTTGGCTTTCTCCGTCTGGGACCCCTCTCGAACTCGTCTTGGGGCTCTCGTGGGCCGTCTTGGGGCCGTCCTGGGCCACTCGTGCGCAGCCTTGGAGCGCGAAGCGCGCGCGTGGTTCTAGCTAGGATCGTCACCGTCGTCATCATGAACATCACCATCGCCATCATTCCCCCCGCCAGGGCTAATGTACATCGTTTCTGGATGCTTCTGGCCAGAATACGAAAGGAGTTTCTGTAGTTAGTCTCTGGGGAAAGTCGCGGGGAAGCTTTTGTTGTATTTGGTGTTGCGTCGCCAGGAGGTATGGGCTCCCTCCTCCTCGTGTTCCTACCTCCTCTCTGGACGTCCGATGTCGTGATGCTTTCTGTGCGCGGCCCCTGGACCTCTCGACGACTTCCTGGGGATGTGTGTTTTTTCATCCTGAGTCGTTTTCTGACGGTCCCGGGACCCTGCGAGGGGCCCCGGAGGCCGAAAATTGACCGAAACCGCCGTCGTGATTCTTCCAAGACGTCGGAGGTCCAGGTCGTGCTTCCCGCCTCCCCAGACCTCCGACGTCGTAATTTTTGCGACCTCGGGCCCAGGAATCGATTGGGAAAACGCACATGGCAAGGCAAGAAATGATGGACCCATCATTTCGCACCTGTGCCTTGATCTGTGGGACGGGCTTCGCTCCGCCGCACATCACAAGACACGCTCGAGCGGATCCAGCCGGGGCGACGTCGGGGACTGCAGAAGGTCGCAAGGACACGGAATCTGAAAGGAAGAAAGAGAAAGAGAGAGAAAGAGAGGGAGAGAGAGAGAGAGAAACAGACAGACAGAGAGCGAAGGAGAGAGAGAGAGAGAGAGATGGATATAAATATATAGAGAGAGAAGAAGAAAACAGACAGAGAGAGAGGCAGAGAGAGGAATGGAGAGGAGGCGAGCTTGAGTCAACGAAAGTCGCAGGGAAGGGGGCAGGGGGAAGAAGGCCAGAGAGCGCTGAAGGATACAAATACTGGAACCCTCTTGGGATTTTTTGGGGGGCCTCGTCTGGCCGCTCGCTGGGAGTTTGACGTAGCTTCTCGGGAGCCTCTGAACCTGTCGGGGGCCTCCTGGAAGCAGGTTCGAAGCATTTTGGGGGCCGATGTGGGGCTTCTCGGGGCCTCCTTTGGGCCTCTTGGGGGTCTCCTGGGGCCTCTTGAGGGGCCTCCTGGGGGCCTCCTGGCGGCCTCTTGGGGCGGAAGGCTCGAGCTTGCGGTTCGTGGTCCCCCTCTGGGCCCCCTCTTGGGCCCGTCTTGGGGCCCTCTTGGGCCATCTTGGGCGCCTCTTGGGCCGTCTTGGGGCCCTCTTGGGCTGTCCTGGGGCCCTCTGGGAAGCTTCTTGGGCCGTCTTGGGGCGGTCTTGGGCGCCTCTTGGGCCGTCCTGTAACGTCGGAAAGCCCAAAAGACAACTTTGTTGAAAATGTACGTTTTACGAAGGGAATGGGCCAATTTTTGCGTCTAGGGGCCCTCTTGGGACGCATGTTGGAGGCTTCTTGGGGCCTCTTGGGGGCGTCCTTGGACGTCTGGAGGCCATCTTCAGCATCTCGGAGCCCTCTTGGAGGCCTCTTGGAAGTTTCTTGGGCCGTCTTGGGCGCTTCTTGGGCCGTCTTGTCTGACTGGGGAGGCCTCCGGCAAGCCCCGACGAGCCTCCGGGCCCCCCGGGGCGCACATTTGTGGTCGGGGTCCCGGCCCCGGGCCCCCGGACCCGGTGCGCCGTTATATGTGTACGCAACCGACAACATTTGTTGTCACTCCCCCTGGCGACCGCACGCTATGGTGGCACCCGTTAAACTGTACTGGTCAAGTTATAGTTTCTCTTGCTGCATGTCTCTGAAAAGTGATAGTGGAATTGCCACTCCTGACATTTCCCACACGCCCTGATTGCAGTGTTGCAGTGGAGAATATATCATTTCACCTTTCCTTGCCTCGCCTTACAGAGTAGCCACAGAGCCTGGTCCCACTCCTCGCCCTTCTCGCACGCACTGATCCCAGCGTTGTAGCTGACTAGGGCAGACCTGTGGACTCCGTCCACGACATCAGCTCGACGTGGCGAGGGGTCTCTGGGCAAGCGCGGGGGGGTGCGGCTGCAGGGCCGAAAGGCAATCATGATGGCGTCGGGCTCCTCCTCCTCCTCCTCCTCCTCCTCCTCCTTTTCCACCTTCTTCTCCTCTTTCGCTGGATTCTCCATGCCCTCGGTCGGCAATCGTCGATCCTACGACGACTCTCCCCAACAGAGAAACATCGAAGGCCCTCGGAGCGTCCAACATTGTTCTTTTGTGCCTTCGATATGCCGGTCGCCTCTCGTCCGCTCCCCCGCTCCTGGAAGGAATTCTGAAGGCACTGAAGGCTTCGTAGGGGCCGTTTCGGAGCCTCTTCGGCCTTCGTTTGGGCCTCGCGGGGGGGCTCTTAGGGCTCTCTCGGGCCGTCTTGGGTGCCTCTTGGGCCGTCTTCGGGCCATCTGAGGCCCTCCTTGGCGCCTCTTCGGCTGTCGTGGGCCGTCTTGGGCCGCTCCTGGGGCCGTCTTGGGTGCCTCTTGGGCCGTCTTGGGCGCCTCCTGGGCCGTCCGGACGCCGTCCTGCGGCGTCTTGGGACCGTCTTGGGGCCCTCCTGGCCCGTCTTGGGGCTCTCTTGGGGTCCTCTTCGGCCGTCTTGGAGCGGTCGGGGGGGCGTCTTGGGCCGTCTTGGAGCGTCGGGAAGGCGACGAGGCGAGGAGGCCGAAAACATTGACAAACACAATAGAAATCGACGATTTCTGTCGCTCGGGGCCCTCTTGGGAGGCCTCTTGGGAGGCCTCTTCGGGCGTCTTGGACGCCTCGAGGGCCTCCTGGGGCGAATCTCGGACGTCTTGGGCGCTCTTGGGCTGTCTTGGGCCGTCTTGGGCCGCTCCTGGGGCCGTCTTGGGTGCCTCTTGGGCCGTCTTGGGCGCCTCCTGGGCCGTCCTGGGGCCGTCCTGCGGCGTCTTGGGACCGTCTGGGGGCCCTCCTGGCCCGTCTTGGGGCTCTCTTGGTATCCTCTTCGGCCGTCTTGGAGCGGTCGGGGGGGCGTCTTGGGCCGTCTTGGAGCGTCGGAAAGCCGACGAGGCGAGGAGGCCAAAAACATTGAAAAACACAATAGAAATCGACGATTTCTGTCGCTCGGGGCCCTCTTGGGAGGCCTCTTGGGAGGCCTCTTCGGGCGTCTTGGACGCCTCGAGGGCCTCCTGGGGCGAATCTCGGGCGTCTTGGGCGCTCTTGGGCTGTCTTGGGCCGTCTTGGGCCGCTCCTGGGGCCGTCTTGGGTGCCTCTTGGGCCGTCTTGGGCGCCTCCTGGGCCGTCCTGGGGCCGTCCTGCGGCGTCTTGGGACCGTCTGGGGGCCCTCCTGGCCCGTCTTGGGGCTCTCTTGGGGTCCTCTTCGGCCGTCTTGGAGCGGTCGGGGGGACTTCTTGGGCCGTCTTGGAGCGTCGGAAAGCCGAAGAGGCGAGGAGGCCGAAAACACCGAAAAACACAGTAGAAATCGACGCTTTCTGTCGCTCGGGGCCCTCTTGGGAGGCCTCTTGGGAGGCCTCTTCGGGCGTCTTGGACGCCTCGAGGGCCGCCTGGGGCGACTCTCGGACGTCTTGGGCGCATCTTTAAGCGTGCCGGGGCTCTCCGGGGCCGTCTTGGAGGATTTTTGGGACCCTCTGGACGTGTCTTGGGGCCTCCCTGGGCGGCCCGGAGCCAGCCCGGGGCGGTTTTGGTTCATTGGAGCCTGCACCATTCTGGCACGCACTGGGCCCTGCAATGTAGTAGAGACTAGAGCTGACCCGCGGCCTTCCGCCCGCGGAATCTGCCCGCCATGGCTTGGACGTGGAAGTGGAGCGTCTCTGGGGCCTCGCGGGTAAGGGGAGGTTGGAGGGGACGGTGTGGATGGAGGAGGTGGCCGCTGGAGGGGGAGGTGGGCGAGGGATGCAGGCAAGCAGGCCTGAAGGCAGGAACGCGGTGGTGGAGGCGGTGTCAATGGAAGCGCACCCATGTAGGCATAACAGCTGTTTCTGACGCCGCAATATGTGTTCATGATAGCTTCTGCGGGGAGGGCAGCCGTGAGAAGTTATCTGCTCTTCGCCGGGGCCGAATGATAATTTGATGTGGTAGTGTGGTGACAATGGGGCCAGTGGGCGCGGCCTAGGAGGCCCGCAAGAGGGCGGCGAAACGTAACTCCCTAAGACGGGCCCCAGTGCGAGGACACGAATCGACCTTTCGAGCGCACCGCCCCAAGACGTCCCCAAATGGCGCAGAGATGGCTCGCAGTGGGTCCAAGAAGCCCCCAAGACGATACTGGAAGTTCGACGCTCTCCAAGAGAGAAGCATCCAACGCCTCTTGGGGGCCGCTTGGGGGCCCTTTTCGTCCTCCTGGGGGTCTCTTGAAGCCCTCTTGGGCAATCTTGAGTGCGTCTTGGGCCGTCTTGGGGCGATGTGGGGCCGTCTTGGGCGCCTCTCGGCATCTTGGGACAGTCTTGGAGCTATCTTGAGCAAATATTGGGCGCTCTTGGGGTTGTCTTTGGTGTTTCTTGAGCCGTCTCGGGCGCCTCTGGAGCCGTCCCTGACGGCCCAGAGACCGTCTTGGAGACTGTCAAAACGGAAAGGCTTGGAGACGTGGCGGTGGGGGCACCTACAGCCGTCTTGGAGACGGGGCGGTGGGGCCGTCTTGGGCCATTGTTAACTGCTCTTGGGGCTGTCTTGGGTGCGTCTTGGGCCGTCTCGGGGCCCTCCTGGGGCCCCCCTGGGAAGCCTCTTCGGCGTCTCTTAGGCCGTCGTAGAGGCGTCTTGGGCCGTCTTGGCGCTGCAAAAGGCAGTCTTGGCTTGTCGTGGAGCGCTCTTGGAGCGTCTTGGGGATACCTGGGGCCGTCCTGGGAGTCTCTTGGTGTCACCCTGGGGCCGTTGTGGGCGCCTCTTGGACTCTCTCGACCCCCTCTCGGGCCGGTTTTCGTGCGTCTTGGGGGCCTCTTGGGCCGTCTTGGGGCGGTCGTGGGGACCTGGAACCAGCTTCTGCGCCATATTCCCGTGAAGCAGCGCATGCTGGAAGTGAGCGTTTTTCTTCTGGAAAAACAATGATTTTCGCCTCTGGGGGCCATCCTTGGACGCCTCTTGGGGCCGCCTGGGGGCCGTGTTGGGCGCCTCTTGGGTCTCTGGACGCTCTCGCGGGCCGGTTTTCGTGCCTCTGAGGGGCCTCTTGGGCCGTCTTGGGGCGGTCGTGGGGGCCTCTTGTCCCATCTTCTGCGCCATACTTCCGACAAGCAGTGTGTGCTAAAATTTTACGGTTTTCTGTTGAAAAAAACAATGATTTGGACCTGTGGGGGCCATCCTGGGACGCCTCTTGAACGTCTCTGGGGCCGTCGTGGAGGCCTCCTGGGCCTTGTCGGGGCCGTTTTCGGCGGTCCGGAGCTCTCTTGGAGCGCTCTTGGGCCGTTTTGGGGGTGTCTGGGGCCGTCCTGGGCGCCTCTCGGGCCGCGTGAGCGCCTCTGGGGCGTCCCCGGAGCCGTTGTGGGGCATTTTAAGCACGCACGCACGCACGGGTCCCTGCATTGTAGAGAAGATGACGTCGGGCTCCAGCTTAGCCTCCCGCATTTCGCTCAACAGCGACAAGGCCTGCTGCCATTGGCTGCCTTTTTCGAACGCGCTTACCCCAGCATTATAGCTGATGACGTCGGGCGACACATTCGCCTCACACATCTCGCTGAACAGCGCCAGAACACCTTCCCACTGCTTGCCCTTCTGGCACGCGCTAATCCCGGCGCTGTAGCTGACTAGTGTGTACCCGTGGATGAGATCCACGGCGTGAACAACGTGTCACGCGCTCCCGTTGCACTTGAAGCGACGACTCCGTAGCAGAACAGCTTGTCCGACACGAGTAGGTCCTCGAAACTGTGGGTCTTCAAAAGTTGTCAGGGCCCGGGTGTCTGGAACACGCATGTGTCGCCGAGGCCGGGGGGAAGGCAGGAGCAGGCAGAAAGAGCGGTTGAGGTCGGAGCATGACAGCAGAGGGAGGCAAGATGCGAGCAAGGCCTGATGGCCCTGATTCCAGGGCTGGAGGAGGGCCCTACGATCCGAGACTGCGGATCCTGAAACAGAGAGGGCGGGGTCTGGGGGATGGTGCGGCTGTGGAGCGACACGAGGCGGTTGAGAAGATCTGGGATAGGTCAGAGTGTCTGGGGCTCGGGGTAGGGATGGGGCCTGGTCTGGGGCTTGCGAGCGCATGGGACAAGCCCCCTTTGTCACCAGTACCGCGAGGCCCGGGCAATAACGGTATCTGGGACCGTGAGGGCATGCCGCGGCCGCGGCTGGGGTCGACAGGAAGCTCCCGAGAAGGCCTGGGGAAACTCAATGGTCCAAGGCCTCGGGTGGGGGTGAGCAACTTCCTGCGTCATGGGAACGTCCTTCTGGAGCCGTCGGGGGGCGTCCTGGAGGACATCTGGGAGGCCGTCGGGGGGCGAGAAGGCTCGGTGTGGGGTATGGGGCGTGGTTGGGGGCTTGCGAGAAGCCGTCTCGGGGCGATGCGGGTGTCGTGGCGCCGTCGGCGAGTGCCCAGGGGCCTTCTGGCGCCGTCGGGGAGCGTGCTGAAGGCTCTCTGGGAGGCCGTATTGGGCCGAGCTGGAGGCAAGGGAACCGTCGGCGAGCGGCCCAGGGGCCTTCTGGAGGTGCCGGGGCTCGGTGTGGGGCAGGGGGCTTGGTGTGGGTCTTGCGGGGAGCCGTCTGGGGCGATGTGGTTGTTCTGGGGCCGTCGGCGAACGGCCCAAGGGCCTTCTGGGGCCGTCGGGAAGCGTGCTGCAGGCTCTCTGGGAAGCCGTATTGGGCCGAACTGGGGTCGAGAGAGCCGTCGGCGAGCGGCCCAAGGGCCTTCTGCAAGTGTCGGGGGTTTGGTGTGGGGTATGGGGTTTGGTTTAGGGCTTGCGGGAAGCCCTCCTGGGCGATCTGGGGGTCGTGGCTCTCGCTGGGAACGAGGGAGCCGTCGGCGAGCGGCCCAGGTGCCTTTCGGAACCGTCGGGGGCTTGGTATGAGGTATGGGGTTTGGTTTGTGGCATGCAGGAAGCCGTCTTGGGGCGATCTGGGGGTCATGGCTCTCCGGGAGGCCGTCCTGGGCCGAGCTCGGGGCGAGGGAGCCGTCGGCGAGCGGCCCAGGGGCCTTCTGGAGGTGTCGGAGCTCGACGTGGGGCATGGGGCTTGGTGTGGGTTTTGCGGGAAATCGTTTTGGGGGGTCGCGGGGTCGTCGGCGAACGGCCCAAGGGCCTTCTGGGGCCGCCGGGGAACGTGCTAAAGGCTCTCTGGGAGACAATATTGGGCCACGCTGGGGGCCTGGGAGCCGCGCTGGGGGCCCAAAAGCCGTCGGCGAGCGGCCCAAAGGGCCTTCCGGAGCCGTCGGGGAGCGCCCTGGAGGCGCCCCAGGGCACGGTTGGCGCTACAGGCCGTCCCTGGAAGACACATTTCAAAATCTATGTTGGTTGCTCATATTACCAGCGGCAACTGCATTCGGAAGGGCCGCATGGTATCTAAAAATCATCCCTGAACCATATGTGTTCGACAACGCCCTCATGATGGAAATTAAATATGAGGAGATATGTTACTAAAGTAATTACGTTTAGATTCGAGCGCTTACTTGTGTTAGATACGGGTGTATGTGTTCTTCATATTTTTGGATACGGGTCAATGTTTAGCTATGCTTAGATACGGTTCAACATGGCGCCCACCGCTGGAAACCATGTCTACCAACAACAGATACGAATAGAAACGGCGCCGCGCTTCCAATGCCAGGCCGAGGCCGCTCAATGACCATGAACAGGAAAGACAATACGCATGCCAGCCAGGACGACGATGATGATGATGATGATGATGATGATGAGGATGATGATGATGATGATGTCCTCCTCCTCCTCCTCCTCTTCCTCCTCCTCCTCCTCTTCCTCGTCCTCCTCCTCCCTTTTGCTCTCCCCATCCTACGGCTCCCTGTTCCAAATTACCCAGTTCTCTCCCAAATTTCGTTTCGTCGCTGTTGTCCATCCTACTTCTCGTCGTTTTTGTCGTCGTCGGTCGTCTCCTCACTCCTCATCGCCACGGCTTCCAACTATCCCCATACCGTTGCTCATTGCTTCGACTACTATCATGGATCGCTTTCGCTCCGAGAACACAGCCAACAGCATCCGTTCTGACAAAGGTAGATCAATAGATACGGCGCGGCACTGTCAGTTTTTGAAAGATAGATGCGAATAGGCATGTCCCTTTAAAAATGTATACGGTCCCGATTGTTTAGATATGCTTGAACAATAGAAACGTTTAGATACGGCGGCATTCCCGCGCAGGCCGGGGGCGCGCATCAAAGAATTTATACATATACACACATATATATCTCGTCGTCGTTGCAGAAAAGTAGATACGATTGGCTTCTCGCCTGCACCAGGGCTCGATCGCATCTAAACGTATATATCAATTTTGGATACGCTTTGCAAGCCCGCGGGCTCTCGGGGCTCCCCGGGGCGGGCTGTCGACTGAAAGCCCTTCTCGCACGCGCTTCGGGCTGAATTGTAATACAGATGGCGTCGTGCTCCAGCTTCGCCTCCCGCATTTCGCTCAGCAGCGTCAGCACCCGCCGCCACTGCTCGCCCTTCTCGCACGCGCTGATCTCGGCGCTGTAGTTGACTAGGGCTGACCCGTGGACTCCGTCCACGACATCGTGCTGAAGAGAGCCGCAGTTGCGCGGCGAAGGCGCCCCCGAAGAGCTGCGACATTGCCTGCGCGGAGGGGAGTCAGAGCGGACAACGACGAAGATGACGACGACGACGACGACGACGACGACGACGACGTGACGACGGCGACGGCTGGAGCGACGACGCCAACGACGGCGGCGGCGAAGACGTCGGCAGCGACGAGCCCGGGGCGGACGCGACAGGCGCAGTGGACAAAAGACTTGCCCGACGACGCAGGTGCGAAGGCCCTGGGACACCCCAGGACGAACCCCACGAAGACAGACCAAGAAGGCCCTGGGATATACCAGGACGGACCCAACAGCGAACAGGACTTCAAGCTGGAAAAAGAGTCTGGGAGACTCCAGGTCGGACCCCACAGGACCTGAAGGCGGATTGCAAAGTGCACCTGGGGGAATCACAACGCTGCCTGGAGAATCGTGCGGGGCCAACACGGTGCAGCCTGGTGGTTGGCACGTCGTCGTGTCATGTTGGCTCCGGGACGGCCTGAGAGAGCGTCCTGATAGACCCAGAGATCGTGAGCACGGTGTGAAGACAGATCGAGAAGGCTCTGGAAGACCCAAGGACGAACCCAACAGGACCTCGAGCTGAAAGAAGGTTCTGGGAGACCTCAAGACGGACTCCCAGACGCCCACGCGAGGCACCTAGACCGCTCGAGAAGTGCCAAACAGGCGCCAAGAGGCGCCCAAGAGACGCCACCGACGACGAGCCCGAACTTGGACTGTGAAACACGATACGCCTTTGGGTGCCTGACGACAGTGCGTGCAGGAAAAGTGTTTCGACGGTTCCAGGCCCCGGGAATTGCTCGGGAGGCGAGGTGTAAGAACAGCCGACGGATTGCCATTACGACGGCGGCGGCAGCAGCGGCGGAAGCGACGGCGACGGCGACCGCGGCCGCCAGCGGGTCGCCGATGGAACCTCTCAAGTTCACGTGTCGATCTTGGGAGACAATATTGTCGTCTTGGGCGCTTTGAAGACGAAAAGCACGGGAATTGCCAAAATGAACGTTTTCCTGAAGGATTTGGGAAATGTTCTCTCGTTCGGGCTCTCTCGGGGCTCTTCTTGGAGCCCGCTTGGAGCAATTTGGGCGCCTCTTGGGCCGTCTGGAGGCCCCGTCTTGGGTGTTGAAAAGCTTTGAAGTTCCCGTGGTCTTCTGGACAATTCCTGCAAGGCCTCTTGGGGCGTCTAGGGACCTTTTGGAGGCTTCGTGGAACCGCTTGAGATCTCTCGGGGCCCCTGTCCAGCGGCTGTCGGGGCAGATTCTGGCCATCTCGGACATTATCGAAGGCTGTCTCTGCGACGTCATGGGGACCCAGAGCCCATAGGGACCCGGAGGCAGTGCCGACACCGCTGGAGGCCGAGAAAGCGATTGGCCCACGGATTTGACCCAGAATTGAGGGCATGATGATAGCATCGGGCTCCAGCTTAGCCTCCCGGATCTCGCTCAGCAGCGCCAAAGCCATCTGCCATTGCTCTCCCATCTTCACGCGCTGGCCTCAGCGTTGCAACTGAGCCAACTGGATCGTGCTCGACATGTATTGTATCATTCCCCTGCAACAAGGTCACGCACCTCTTTGAATAAAGACAGCGCGTGGCTCCCTTGCCCGCCTTGCTCGCACATGCTGGCTGCAGCTCCGTAGACCATGAAGTCAACGTCCAACTTTCTCAAACGCATGGTTCTGAGCATGCTCAGCGCCTGTTGCCACTGCCCACCGTTCTCGCACACTCTGATCCCAACGTTGTAGCTGATGACGTCGGGCTCCAGCTTCGCCTCCCGCATCTCGCTCAGCAGCGCCAGGGCCCGCTGCCACTGCTTGCCCTTCTCGCACGCCTTGAGCCCAGCGCTGTAGCTGACTAGTGTGCACCCGTGGACTAAATCTGCGATTTGCTGAACCTGTGGATTGAAGACACGCTGACCTGAGCTGGCGAAGTCGTAGAACCGCGGTGTCCTGAGGAAGGGGGGAGAAGGAGAACGTTCGCCCGCTGGTTGGTGAGGTCATGCTCGCCGAATGACGGAAAACTCCAACAAGAACAGCAATGAACTACCGAGGAGCCTCGCGGCGACGACGACGACGACGACGACGACGATGGCTCCTGGAGTCTTCGTGCTCCACGTCGGCGAGCCTCACGAAGAAGTCCGCAATCCGCGGTAATGTCGGCGAGCCTCACAAAGCATTTTGGAACCCGCGGAAGGGAAGTCAGGCAACGCGGTGTCCTTCGACACGTGGGTCGAGCGTGGTGCTTCCCATAAGCTGAAGGGTGAGACCGTCGGAGTACTCAGGCCGTATGGGAAGCGTATCCCGTGGCGTTCGTGGGGTTAGAGAATCTCTAGGGGAGCGTGTTTCGGAGTATTTGGGCAGTCTGGAAGCTGTCTTGGGCCATCCTGGAGCCCCGCGGTCCTGGAATGTCATGGTGGTCCCTGAGGCCGTGTCGGAGGGCTCTCTGGGACAATCTTGTAATTAGCCCTGCGGGCAAGCCCTAGAGCATTTGGGGGCCGGCTTGAGCCGTTTCGGAAGCTTCTGTGCCTGTCTTGGGCACCTTCGAACGTTCCTGGGGGCACTGAGGATCGTCTGGGAGCCTGTGGCTCCGCTTTGGGCCGATCTGGAAACTCCTGGGAGCCATCTCGGGCGGTTCGAAACGCTCTCGGGCGGCTCTCTGGGGCCCTGGGGATCATATGGGATCGTCTGGGCCTGTTGCTTGCGAGCCCCGTTTGGGGCTGTCCTGGGGCGGTGCGGGAAGGTTCGCCCGCCGAGGTGCCCAGAGAGTTACCCAAGTACATTCGTCTTGGAGGCCTTTGGGGTGCTGTAGTTGTGCCCTCGGGGACCTGTTGGAGTTGTTGGCGTCCCCGATGGCCTCATGGGCGGCCGGAGAGGCTTCGACAAAAGCCCCAACGCTCATGCACTCGACTTGCCTGTGCGGTTCTCCAGCGAGGTACGCAAGAACATGCGGGCGGTGGTCCCCTGGAAATAATGCAAGGGACCTTTTTGCACACCGCGGTAATTAGCTCTTTCTGGCTCCCAGGAATGCTCTCGAGAGAACCCGAGCGGGCCACCTTGGGTGATCTGGGGAACCCTTCGGAGCCGTCTAGGGCGGCCCGAAGCCAGAAAAGGGGAGAAAGCCCGAGACAGTGCACACAATCATACAACATGGACGCGTTTAGCCTCTGAAAGCGCTGCCTGGGATCTCTTGGAGAGTCGTTTTCGGAGTGGTTGGGACGTCTGAGAGCTCTCTTGCGCCAGCCAGAAGCCCTGCGAGGACGTCTGGGGTTCTTCTGGGGCTATCTTGGGCCCTCTGGAGCGCCTCTTGGGGCCGTGGGGGCTCGTCTGAAGGTGGAGCCTGCATGCTAGGCTGTGGGGCCGGCTTGGACCGATCTGGGGATCCCTGAGAACCGTCGGGGGCGCTCCGAAGCCGGAAAAGGGAGAACGCCCGAAACAATTGAAAAAAACATGTAAAATCGTCGCGGGGAGCCTCTTCAAGCGCTCCGTGGGATCTCAAGGGGACGCCTTTTCGATGTGTTTGGGCCGTCCGAGGGCTCTCTTGGGCCAACCAGGGGCTCTGCGAGGACGTTTTGGAACTTCCTGGGGCTGGTTTGTGCCGTTTTGGGTGCTGCTGGAGCTGTCGATGGCACTCTGGAGCGTCCCTGGGGGTCGTGCGGAGGATCGTCTGGGGCCTGTCTTGGAGCGGCTGGGGGCCTGCTTTCGAGCGGGTGGGGCCGCCCTGGGACGATTCGGGAGCACCTGGGAGCCGTCCATGGCGGTTTGGGGCTGTCCGCAGCCGGGAAAGGAGAGAACGCTAGAAACATTGAAGAAAAACCATATAAAAGCGACACGTTCAGCCTCTGGAAGCGTTCCCAGGGAATCTTCTGGGGCCGTCCTGACCGTCGCGGGCGTCCCCCAGCCGCCATCTTGTCGCCATCGCGGCCGCTCCTAAGGCTGTCGAGGCGGCTCCGAGCGCCTGCCCGCAGCGGGCCGAGCCGGGCCGAGCTGGGCCGAGGCGGGCCGATGCCACCAGGCCCTCTTTTCGCACGCGCTGATTCCGGTATTGTAGTATAGAAGAAGATGACGATGTTAGGCTCCAACTTCGCCTCCTCCATTTCCCTCAGCAGTGACAGAGCCCGCTGCCACTGTCCGCCCTTTTCGCACGCGCTGATCCCGGCGCTGTAGCTGACTAGGGCTGACCCGCGGCCTCCCGCCGCGGAATTTGCCCGCCCTGGTGTGGACGTGGAAGTGGAGCGTCTCTGGGGCCTCGCGGGTAAGGGGAGGTTGGAGGGGACGGCGTGGATGGAGGAGGTGGCCGCTGGAGGGGAAGGTGGGCGAGGGATGCAGGCAAGCAGGCCTGAAGGCAGGAACGCGGTGGTGGAGGCGGTGTCAGTGGAAGCACACCCATGTAGGCATGACATGGTGTGGACAGAAGCTTTTTCTGACGCCGCAGTCTGTGTTCATCATAGCTTCTGCGGGGAAGGTAGCCGTGAGAAATCCCACCAGCCCTTTAGGGCGTAGGTGGTCTAGAGCGTTTCCTCTGCCAACCCCCCTTCTTTCCCTTCGGGGAGGGGTTTACCCCTCCCCTTACCCCTCCCCACTGACCTGGACGAGGCGTCTCGCGAGGTGTCAGGGACGCCCAAGATGGCTCAAGACGGCTCCAAGAGCGAAAAAGCGAGAAAGCACAAAACATTGATTTTCCTTAGGTTTTGGAAGGATTTTGGCCTCTTGGGGGGGCCCAAGAGGCGCTTCGAGGCACTCTAGAGGGGCAACCCTAATTGGAGCTCCCCCCTTCTTTGATAGATCTCCTCCAAGATGGCCCCAAGAGCGCCCCGAAGGCTCCCAAGAGCGCCCCAAGAGCGCCCCAAGAGGGCCCCAAGAGACCCCAAGAGGCCCCCAAGAAGCCTCTAAGAGGCTGCCAAGAGACCCCCAAGAGGCCCCAAGAGAGTTCAAGATGGCCCAAGACGGCTCCAAGAGCGAAAAGGCGAGAAAGCAAAAAACATTGATTTTCCTTAGGTTTTGGAAGGATTTTGGCCTCTTGGGGGGCCCAAGAGGCGACTCGAGGCACTCTAGAGGGGCAACGCTAATTGGGGACCCCCTCTTCTTTGATCGATCTCCTCCAAGATGGCCCCAAGAGCGCCCCGAAGGCTCCCAAGAGCGCCCCAAGAGCGCCCCAAGAGCGCCCCAAGAGGCCCCAAGAGGCGCCCAAGAGGCCTCCAAAAGGCTCCCAAGAGACCTCCAAGAGGCCCAAGAGGCTCCCAAGACGGCCCAAGACGGCTCCAAGAGCGAAAAGGCGAGAAAACACAAAACATTGATTTTACCTAGGTTTTGGAAAGATTTTGGCCTCAAGAAGGGCCCAAGAAGCGATTCGAGGCACTCTAGAGGGGCAGCGCTAATTGAGGACCCCCCCTTCTTTGATAGATCTCCTCCAAGATGGCCCCAAGAGCGCCTCGAAAGCTCCCAAGAGCGCCCCAAGAGCGCCCCAAGAGAGCCCCAAGAGGCCCCAAGAGGCCCCCAAGAGGCCTCCAAGAGGCCCCCAAGAGACCCCCAAGAGGCCACAAGAGGCTCCCCGAGATACGCAAGAGGCCCCCGGGACCGCCAAGAGGCTCCAAAGACGGCCCAAGAGGCCCCAAGCTCGCCATTGTCCTCCTCCTCCTCCTCTTTTTCTTCCTCCTCCCTCCTCCCCCTCCCCCTCCTCCTCCTCCTCCTCCTCCTCCTCCTCCTTTTCCTTTTCCTCCTTCTCGTCCTCCTCGTCCTCGCAGTCCTCCATCTCCTCCTCCTTATCTTCCTCCTCCTCCTCCTCCTCCTGCTCCTCCTCCTGCTCCTCCTCCTGCTCCTCCTCCTCCTCCTACTCCGACGACGACGGCTCCTCCTACATCCTCCCCCTCTTGGGGTATATGGCGGCTCACCCCGCCCTCTGTTCTTCTGCATGCTCCCCCGCTTCCCTCATAACCTCCACTCCCCTGGGACTCATTTCTGGACGGGCTGGTGGGGATACGCGAAGCGTCTAGAATTTATCTGCTATTCGCCAGGGCCGAATGATGATTTCATCTGGCAGTGTGGTGACAATGGGGCCAGTGGGCGCGGCCTAGTAGGCCCGCAAGAGGGCGGCGAGACGGAACTCCCTAAGAAGGGCCCCAGTGCGAGGACACGAATCAACTTTTCGAGCGCACCTCCCCAAGACGTCTCCAAATAGCGCAAAGATGGCTCCCAGAGGGTCCAAGAAGCCTCCAAAACGGTGCTGGAAGTCCGACGCTCCCCAAGAGAGAAGCATCTCGGGGGCCGCTTGGGGGCCTCTTTTCGTCCTCCTGGGGGTGGGTCTCTCGGAGCCCTCTTTGGCAATCTTGAGTGCATCTTGGGCCGTCTTGGGGCGATGTGGGGCCGTCTTGGGCGCCTCTCGGACCATCTTGGGACAATCTTGAGGCCATCTTGGGCCAATATTGGGCGCTTCTGGGGCTGTCTTTGGTATTTCTTGAGCCGTCTCGGGCGCCTCTGGAGCCATCCCGGACGGCCCAGAGACCGTCTTGGAGACTGTCCAAACGGAAAGGCTTGGAGACGGGGCGGCGGGGACCTCTACAGCCGTCTTGGAGACGGGGCGGTGGAGCCGTCTTAGGCCATTATGAACTGCTCTTGGGGCTGTCTTGGGTGCGTCTTGGGCCGTCTCGGGCGCCTCTGGAGCCGTCCCCGGGCAGTGTGTGGCCCTTTGGGCGCCCTCATGGGAGCGTCTGGGCGCGTCTTGGGGCGAGCTGGGGGGCCTGTATAGCCTTCTGGACACTGCGAGGACGAAAAAAATATCCCAGTGCGACCCTACCTAGGAGTTGGAACCCCTAGGAAAGCAGCATTAGTAGTAACAGTAACGCTAAGCTAAAGCTAAGCTAAAGCTAAGCCACAGCTAAGCTAAAGCTAAGCTAAAGCTAAGCTAAAGCTAAGCTAAAGCTAAGCTAAAGCTAAGCTAAAGCTAAGCTAAAGCTAAGTTAAAGCTAAGCTAAACCTGAGCATCAGCTAAGCTAAAGCTAAGCTAAAGCTAAGCTAAAGCTAAGCTAAACGCTAAACGAAAAGCCAAGCGAAACGCTAAGCTAAAGCTAAGCTACAGCTAAGCTAAAGCTAAGCTAAAGCTAAGCTAAAGCTAAGCTAAAGCTAAAGCTCCCAGGGGACTGGGGGGAACCGCTCCCAGGGGACTGGGGGAACCGCCCGGGGTGTGTTCCACTGCCCGACCCCTTTAAGCTAAGAGAGTAAGAACCCTTCTAGGCAGAGCCTAGGTAGGGAACATGATATATTGAAAATGTGCGTTCCCCGCCAGGACTGGGACGGTTTGGGCCTCTTGGGGCTCTCCTGGAGGCCCTCCTGGGCCGTCTTGGGAGCCTCCTGGCCTGCCTTGGGGGCCTCTGGGGCTGCCTTTGGGCTCCCAAGGGTGCTCTGAGGCCGTCTTGGCGCCCCCTGGAGCCTCTCGGAGCCGTCCCGTTGGCCATTCTTGGCTGCTCTTGAGGCTGTCTTGGGTGCGTCCTGGGCCGTCGGGGTCGTGTGGGGCCCTTTGGGGGCCTCTGGGCGCGTCTTGGGGCGAGGGGGAGGGCCTGTATAGCCGTTTGGGGGCCCTACTGGGGTGCTCTGGGGGCGTCTTGGGGCGATTGGGAAGGCCTGTATAGCCAGCCGTCTCGGACGCGGTGAAGACGAAAAGAGCGAGCATATCAAAAATGCAAGTTTTCCAAAGCGAATGGGGCTGGGGTCCTCTGGGGCCGGCTTGGGCGCCTCTTGGGCCATCTTGGGGCTCCCTGGGCCGTCTAAGGGCGCGCTTGGAGGCCTGGTGGGCCATCCTGAGGCGGTCTTGTGGGTGTCTTCGGCCGTCGTGGAGCGTCGGCTAGCCGAGAAGGCGAGAAGGCAAGGGCGGTCTTGTGGGTGTCTTCGGCCGTCTTGGAGCGTCGGCTAGCCGAGAAGGTGAGCAGGCAAAACTCCTTCAAAAACCATTGACAAATTAAGGAATTTGGCCTCTGGGGGCATGCTTCGGAGTACTGTTGGATGCTCTTGGCAGCCTCTTGGGGGGGTCTTGGGGCCTAATGTGGGCGTATGGGGGCCCAGGACTCGGAATGTCACTTTGGCCCCCTCTTGGGCCTGGCTTGGGGTCCTCCGGGGCCGGCTTGGGCGCCTCTTGGGCCATCTTGGGGCTCCCTGGGCCGTCTGGCGACGCGCTTGGAGGCCTCTTGGGCCGTCCTGGGGCGGTCTTGTGGTTCTCTCCGGCCGTCGTGGAGCGTCGGCTAGCCGAGACGACGAGAAGGCAAAATTCCTTCCAAAACCATGGAGACAGAAAGGATTTTGGCCTCTGGGGGCCTGCGTCGGGGTACTGTTGGGGGCTCTTGGCGGCCTCTTGGCGGGGGCCTTGGGGCCTTGTGTGGGCGTATGGGGGCCCAGGACTCGCAATATCAGTGTTTTTCTCCGTGCTTTGGCCCCCTCTTGGGCCTGGCTTGGGGTCCTCCAGGGCCGTCTCGGGCGCCTCTTGGGCCATCTTGGAGCTCCTGGGCCGTCTGGCGACGCGCTTGGAGGCCTGTTGGGCCGTCCTGGGGTGGTCTTGTGGGTCTCTTCGGCCGGCTTGGAGCGTCGGCTAGCCGAGAGGGTGAGCAGGCAAAGCTCATTCAAAAACCATTGAAAAATACAAGATTTTGGCCTCTGGGGACATGCTTCGGAGTACTGTTGGAGGCTCTTGGAGGCCCCTAAAGCCTCGGTGGGGTCCTCTAGGGGGCCTCGTGGGCCTTGTTGGGGGCCTCTAGGGGGCCTCTTGGACGCTCCTTGGAGCCTCTGATGGCCACTTCGGCGCGTCTTTGGGGGGAGGGCTCGATTTGTGACGCTCGGGGGTCAGGATCTGCGTGAGGGGTGTCGAAAGATGGCCCTCCAGGGAGGGCAAAATGCACGACCTTTTCGCACCCGCTTCCGTCTGCCATAGAGAAGAGACTAGGGCTGACCCGTGGACTCCGTCCACGACATCTTTCTGGAATGGTTCTCGGAAGAACGGCTGAGATTTTGCCGAAAACCTATGAACACAGCCGCGGCAGCGAGACCGCGTCTTCGTGTCCGAGCCCTTGCGGCGCTCCAGCAGCTCGGCCGTCGCGGGGCCGCAGACGTTGCTGTCATCGTCGGCGTCGTTGTCGTCGCCGCCGCGAGGCCGCCGTCGTACCCGTCGTAGTCGGCGTCGTTGTCGTGGTGGTGGTCGTCGTCGTCGTCGTGAGTTGTGGGCACTGGAAGGGGGCTGGCGAGGCCAGTAGGACTGACCCGTCGACTCCGTCCACGAAATCTGCACCTGCTGATGGCCAGTTCCGCTTAGTGCGTGCTTCTACCCGCTGCCTGCCGCTGCTTACTGCTGCTGTTGTGTGCCCCCGTTGCTGCTGTCTGCTTCGTGCCCAAGGGAGAGATCGATGCTGCCCCAAGGCACTCGAGTTGTCGAACGGTGCACTGCGCATGGGGGCCCACTGTGGACGCGCAGGGAGCCACGTCCTTTTGGGCGACGTCTCCGCGCCCCTCTGGGATCAGACTTGTTTGGGGACTGCGTTCCGTGGAGGCCTCTGGTGTATGTATATCGCCTCACTTGGGCGGCAGCGGCGAATGGTGCCCTGGAGCTGGGAGGCAACAGTACAAGGGAATAGCGCCCATGCTGCTGTTCATTATTCGGCGCTTTTTCGCTCGCGCCCGCACCCACGGAGGATGACAACGCTGCCTATGCGGCCACGGATGGCGGGCGCCTTCTCCATGGGAACCGTTTGGGGCCTCTCGGGGATTCTTTTCGGCCTCCTGGGGGCCTTTTGGAGCCCCCTTGGACCATCTTGCGGCCTCCTGGGGGCCTCTTGGGGCCCTCTTGGGCCGTCTTGGGTACCCCTTGGGCCGTCTTGGGGCCGTGTGAGGCCGTCTTGGGTGCAGCTCGGACCGTCTTGGGCCCGTCTTGGGCCGTTATTGACCGCTTTGGGGGCTGTCTTGGTTGCCTCTGGGGCCGTCCAGGGCGTCTCTGGAGCCGTCGCGGGACCGCCTCGGGCCGTTTGGAAACCCTCCTGGGGTGCTCTGGAGAGTCTTGGGGCGATCGGGAAGGCCTGTATAGCCGTCTTGGACGCGGCGGAGACGAAAAGAGCGAGCATATCAAAAAATGCACGTGTTCCGAAAGGGAATGGGGCAATGTTTGCCTCTTGGGTCCCTCCTGGGGGTCCTCCTGGGCCGCCCTGGGAGCCTCCTGGCCTGCCTTGGAGGCCTCTGGGGCCGACCTGGGGCTCGACTGGGTCCCTCTTGGTCTGTCTGGACGCCCTCGTGGGCGTCTCTGAGCCGTCTCGGAGCGGCCCGGGGGCTCGCAGGGCGGCCTGGAGAGCCCGGCGGAGATTTCAAGACAGAGGACCTTCTGGCACGCAAAGATCGCTGCATTGTAGAAGAGACGACGTTGGGCTCCAGCTTCGCCTCCCGCATCTCGCTCAGCAGCGCCAGCGCCCGCTGCCACTGCTCGCCCTTCTCGCACGCGCTGATCCCAGCGCTATAGCTGATGACACTGGGCTCCAGTTTCGCCTCCCACATCTCGCTCAGCAGCGCCAGCGCCCGCTGCCACTGCTCGCCCTTCTCGCACGCGCTGATCCCAGCGCTATAGCTGATGACATTGGGCTCCAGCTTCGCCTCCCACATCTCGCTCAGCAGCGCCACCGCCCGCTGCCACTGCTCGCCCTTCTCACACGCGCTGATCCCAGCATTGTAGCTGACTAGGGCAGACCTGTGGACTCCGTCCACGACATCAGCTCGACGTGGCGAGGGGTCTCTGGGCAAGCGCGGCGTGCCTGTCGCCTCTCGTCCGCTCCCCCGCTCCTGGAGGGAATTCTGAAGCCACTGAAGGCTTCGTGGGGGCCGTTTCGGAGCCTCTTCGGCCTTCTTTTGGGCCTCCCGGGGGGGCTCTTAGGGCCCTCTCGGGCCGTCTTGGGTGCCTCTTGGGCCGTCTTGGGGCCGTCTGAGGCCCGCCTCGGCGCCTCTTGGGCTGTCTTGGGCCGTCTTGGGCCGCTCCTGGGGCCGTCTTGGGTGCCTCTTGGGCCGTCTTGGGCGCCTCCTGGGCCGTCCTGGGGCCGTCCTGGGGCGTCTTGGGACCGTCTTGGGGCCCTCCTGGCCCGTCTTGGGGCTCTCTTGGGGTCCTCTTCGGCCGTCTTGGAGCGGTCGGGGGGACTTCTTGGGCCGTCTTGGAGCGTCGGGAAGCCGAAGAGGCGAGGAGGCCGAAAACATCGAAAAACACAATAGAAATCGACGATTTCTGTCGCTCGGGGCCCTCTTGGGAGGCCTCTTGGGAGGCCTCTTCGGGCGTCTTGGACGCCTCTTGGGCCGTCTGGGGCGAATCTCGGGCGTCTTGGGCCCATCTGTAAGCGTGCCGGGGCTCTCCGGGGCCGTCTTGGGGGCTTCTGGGGGCCCTCTCGACATGTCCTGGAGCCTGCCTGGGCGGCCCGGGGCGGCCCGGGGCCAGCCCGGGGCGGTTTTGGTGCATTGGAGCCTGCGCCATTCTGGCACGCACTGGGCCCTGCAATGTAGTAGAGACTAGGGCTGACCCGTGGACTCCGTCCACGACATCTGGCCAAGAGTATTCTAGGGGGGACAGGCGGGAATGGTGCCGAAAGGCTATCCGCCCCTTCCAAAGCAGCGCCCCGAGCTGCACTGGCACGCTCCGTGGCGCCTGCCGGCACCGCCCGACGGGGACGATGACGGCGGAGCTTCTTTTGGGCTTCGAGGGGGCCTCTGGGGGCCCTCGTGGGCTCTCGTCGGTGCTGTTTGGAACCGTCCTGGGCCGTTTTGACCGCCTCTTGGGCCGTCTGGGAGCCGTCTTGGACCGTCTTGGCGGCGCCTGGGGCTGTCTTGCGTGCTTTCGGGGCCGTGTTGGAGCCGTCGCGGGCTGTCTTGGGCGCCTACTGGGCCGACTTCGGGCCATCTGGGGCCGTTTTTGGGGCTGTCTTGGGCCCAAGAGGGCTCCAAGAGGGCCCCAGGACGCCGCTGGGCGCGGGCCCGTCATTCTGCCACGAGAGGCCTTTCTGTGGCAGAATGCGCCCGGCCCTGTCTTGGAGGGGCCCGAAGGCGTCAAGAGGGCCGCAAGAGCGCCCCAAGGGGGCCCCAAGAGGGCCCCAAACCGCATGTACTTGATATGCTTCTTGGGCTTGCTAGATGGGCACCCAAGTACATGCGTCTTGGGGTCTTGTCGGGGCCATCTTGGGGCCCTCCTGGCCCCCTCTTGGGGCCCTCGGGAGCGCTCCCACCCTGTCCTGTCCTCCTCTGGGGCCGCCATGGGCGCCTGAGGAACCGTCCTGGCGCAGTATTGAGCCGTCTTGGGGCCCTCCCAGCAGCCTCCTGAAGCGTCTTGGGACGATCTTGAGGGCCTGTCTTGAACGCTTCGAAAGCGAAAAGCACGGGAACTCCCGAAATGTGCGTTTTCCCTAGGTTTTGGGACGATTGTTCCTTGTTCGGGCCTTCCTGGGCTCTTTATGGAGCCCACCTGGAGTATTTTGGGGCATCTTGGGCCGTCGGGCGGCTGTCTTAAGCGTCTTCGAGCGCTCGGGGCCCGTCTCGGAGGCCGTTTTGGACCGTGGCCTTTTTGAGGGCCTCCAGGGGCGGCTCGGAGCGCCCTTAAGCCACCTTGGAAGCGCACTGGGGCCCCGGGGCCATCTGGGGAAAGTTCTGGGGACGTCTCATGGAGCACCTTGGAGGCCTCTCGGGCCGGCTTGGGCCAATCTTGGGCCAATGTCGAGCGTCTGGGGCCCACCTGGGGGCCTGTTGAGCCGACATTGGGGCCTTTTGGGCCCGTCTTGGGGCTCTGTTGGGGGCCTCTTCGGCCATCTTGGAGCCGTCTTGGGGACGTCTTGGGCGGTCGTAGATCGTCTGGAAGCCGACAAGGCGAGAACGGCAGAAAACTTACAACATTACCCCAGTGCGACCCTGCCTAGAAGTTGGAGCCCCTAGGAAAGCAGCATGAGGTGCTACGCGATGCTATGTTATGCCATGCTATGCTACGCTATGCTATGATATGATTTGCTATGCTATGATGCGCTATGATATGATATGTTATGCTATGCTGTGCTGTGCTGTGCGATGCTAAGCTATGGTATGTCATGCTGCGGTGTGCTATGCTAAGATATGTTATACTATGTTGTGCTACTGCAACGCTGCGCTGTGTTATGCTATGCTATGATATGCTATGTAATGGTATGACTTGTTATGTTACGATGCGCTATGATATGCTATGATATGATATGCTGTGCTTGGCCATGTTATGCGATGCTATACTATGCTAATGTAGCGCTGCGCTATGCGAAGCTAAGCTAAGCTAAGTTATGCTAATGCGGCTCCATTAATGCTGCGCTATGCTATGCTACGCTATGCTATGCTACGCTGTGCTCTGCGGTGATAAAGCTCAGCGAAGCTAAGATGAAGGTAAGTTAAGCTAAGATAAACCTGAGCTAAGCCGAAGCTAAGTTAAGCTAAGATGAGATGAGTTAAGCTAAGATGAGATAAGCAACGCTAAGCTGAAGGGGCGTAGCTGGGGGAACCGCGGGGCGGATCCTGGGGGAACCGCCCGGGGCGGGGCCCACTGCCCGGCCCCTTTCAGCTAACAGAGTAAGAGCCCTTCTAGGCAGAGCCGAGGTAGGGAAAATGACTACCCTACACCGCGCCTGACCACCTCCACTGCTCGCGCAAACCTCCTACCCACCCACCCGCAACTTGATCGCAAGACATCTTAAGACAAGACCGTGACGGTAGGTACCACATGGCACTTGGCCACGACACCGACGCCGACGACGACAGCGACAACGACGACGACGGCGCCGCCGACACCGACTACGACGACACCGCCGACGTCGACGTCGACGAAGACGACGCCGACGCCGACGCCGACGACGACGAAGACGACGACGACGACGTCGCCAACGAAGACGACGACGAGGGAGGAGGGAGGACGACGACAGCGACAACGACGACAACGACGATGGATGAGGGAAGACGGCGACGACGCGAACGACGAAGGAGGAAGGACGGCGACGCCGACGACGACAACGACGAGGGAGGAGGGAAGACGAAGACGACGACAACGACGACGAAGACGACGACGGCGACGAAATAGGAGGGACGACGATAAGACGCCGACAACGGACGACGACGACGACGACGAGGGAGGAGGATAACGACGAGGGAGGAGTGAAGACGACGACGACGACGACGACGACGGCGACGAAATAGGAGGGACAACGATGAAACGCCGACGAAGACGACGAGGGAGGAAAGACGACCACGGCGACAACGACGACGGAAGCGACGACGACGCCAAGACGACGACGACGACGACGACGACGAGGAAAGACAGAAGACGACGACGGCGACGACGACGACGACGACGGGAAGAGGGAGGACGACGACGACGACGACGCAAGAGCGCGCGCGCACGCTTTTGTTGAAAATCCGTGTTGCGAAACCTTGGGTTGTTGTAGGTTTTTTGGACGCGCGATTTTGAAATCCTTCCGAAACCGATGGGTTTTGAAGGATTTCGGCGTACGCGCGCGACGACGCGCGCCTGCACTTCGTCCCATTTTTTGCAAAGGATTCTCGCGACGGCACACGCGCAAGGGCGTTCGACAGATTTCGACATGCGCGCGCGACGCCCGTCTGGTAGCATTGTGTGAAAATCTTGAAAAACCAATGGTTTTCTTCAGATTTCGCAAGAGCGCAGGGAAGCTTTTTTATCACATCAGTGTTGCGAAACCCTGTGTTTGTGTATGCTTTCTGGAAACTCGATTGCGAAATCCTTCCGGCACCGAAAGTTTGTGAAGGATTTCGGCATGCGCGCGCGACGACGCGCGCGTGCGCACTTCGTCCCATGTTTTGCAATGGATTCGCGAAACAGTGTTATGTTAAAGCAAACAAATGTCACCGCATAGTGTTTTCACCAGGGAACCTCAGGGGGGGGGGACACCGGCCCGCCTGGGATGGTAAGATTTCATATTTAGGATGGACGAGTATGCAGAATATATATATATATATATATATATTCACACTGTCTCTCAGAGCGGCCTTCAAGGAAGCGGCGGATTTGGCAAAGCCGATTCACAATCTCGCTGAGCAACGTTTTCAGACAAGATGAAGAATTGTTCCAGCCACTGCGAAGGTGCACGTCACGAAGCGCTTCGCGTGCTGTGGCATCTGACATCTGAATAAGACCCCCCTCATTCATGAGAGGACGTTAGCTCAGCTCCCAGGGCGGCAGGCGGGGATAGGGAGGCGAGCAGAAAAAGGGCGGCTGCGGACGCGACCAGTCAGGGGTCACGAGTGTCCGATCGCCTCCCCTACTGTGGAAAACGCGTACTAACTCACATTCACACTGTCTCTCAGAGCGGCCTTCAAGGAAGCGGCGGATTTGGCAAAGCCAATTCACTATCTCGCTGAGCAACGTTTTCAGACAAGATGAAGAATGGTTCCAGCCACTGCGAAGGTGTATGTCACGAAGCGCTTCGCGCGCCGTGGCACGCACAAATCTGACATCTGAAAAGGGAAAAAAATGATGCCCAGGGTGGCGGCGGGGATGTGGTCGGCAAAGTTAACGACACTGGCGACAGGCACTCTTGAGCAGGTCTGGCCGCTTGCGGCCAGCGGCAATTGCCTCTCGCCTCTGG